CCACGTTCTGTTAATTTTTTCCAAGCCACACGTCGAGTAATTTGTCGTCTGGTTACTGTAGCACCATCACGTTACGTCACATCACGCCACATCACGTCACGTTACGTCTGACGACAGACCGCTCTAGGCCAGAGTTTGGTGCACATCTTCTGGTGTTGTGTGTGCAGTATTGTTAAATTGGTATATAGTGAGGCCATTCTACATGACGGGGGAGGGGTGGGAAGGGTGGTTGTTTGTTCTTCTTGTGCGTCTGCAAAAAAAAAAAAAAAAAAAAAAAAAATCTACGCCTACAATTTTTATTAAACCTCCTGTGCAGATTAGTGAAAGAGCAAGTGACATCTATACCTACACTATAGCCATTAAAAAAAATCTTCCATCCAGTGTTTGACTTAGCAACCAGTAAACGACGTTTGTCTGTGTCACTTAATAGACTAGAAGTTGTCTGGTGTCAGGAAAAACTTGAAGAAAAGGTTGAAGCTTAAAGCTAGGAGCAAGGTCAAGGTCTACAGCTAGGAGCAAGGTCAAGGTCTAGAGACTTGAGTAAGTTCATGGCTGAGAAAAGCTTTATGATATCTACTCCTACATCACCGTCCTACAAAAACGGACGGAGTGACACACTACCTAGCGCGTGATATTTAAGATTAATAGATGAGGCGTAATAACTTCACCGAGTTTTGCTTAGGTTTCCAGTCATTCAGCATTCTAATTGGCATCTTAATGATAATTTAATGATATCTTATTGATAGTTCCATGATACACAAGTGTACCCGCCACTTTAACGATCAACCATTCACGGCCCAGTAAAGGATGAGTTACATGTCATTTATTTTTGGCACGCTAGCTGCTCCCCATTAAAAGAAGATTGATACAACTTGATGCGCTGCTGATCTGACATGTTCGGTGTTGGCGCGGCGTTACGTTACCACTGATGACGTCAGAGGCAGCGATTAGCGTGTAGAGTGTTGTTGGGGTGGTCGAGTACTGGGAGGTTTGGGGCGTCAGTGTGTCTGTAGGGCTGGGGAGGAGGGGAGTCAGCAGGGCTAACCTGAGACATGTGACGTCACAAGGTGTCAGGGTAGACTTCACCGTATGGGTGTCTAAGACCATTCACCTTATTGGTGTCTAAAGCAGTGTTTCTTCAAGACTTTTTTCTCCGGGGGGGTGGGGCACTTGAAATTTTCGGGGGGGGGGGGGGGGGCGGCAAACTTTCTTCGGGGGGGGGGGGGGGCGGACACTGTTAAAAGTATATATTTTCTATATAAATTTTATAAATTTCATTTTTTTGTAAAAAAAAAATTGGGGGGGGGGGCTTCGCCCCCCCCCCCCCCCCCCCCCCCCCGAAGAGATGCCTGGAAGAAACTCTGGTCTAAAGCCTCACCATTCACTGTGTGGGTTTCTAAAGCCTCACCATTCACTGTGTGGGTGTCTAAAGCCTCACCATTCACCGTATGGGTGTCTAAAGCCTCACTAAACTCTAAGATTCTACCCCAGCCTTAACCACCTTTAAAATATTCCATACATGTTTACTGTTGCTATAGAAACAGACGAACTCTGTCAGGCATTGACCCCGACATATCCACACGTTGCCTAGCATCCCAGAGGCGTAGCGACCCTTCCCGGCGCCCGGGGACATACTTTCAATTTGGCGCCCCCCTCGGGAGCAAATTTTCGATTTGCACCCCCCCCTCGAACTTTTCATTTGCACCCCCCCCCTCAAACTTTCGATTTGCACCCCCCCCCTCGAACTTTTCATTTGCACCCCCCCCCCCCTCAAACTTTCGATTTGCACCCCCCCTCGAACTTTTCATTTGCACCCACCCCCCCTCTAACTTTCAATTAGGCGCCCACCCTAAGGTCGGCGCCCCCCTAAGGTCGGCGCCCGGGGACATATGTCCCCCCCCCCCGCCCCCCCCCCCGCCCCCGCTACGCCTCTGTAGCATCCAGAAGCTCCAATTATCCGTATAAAACAAAAAAAAATATTCAAATATTTAAAAATGCAATTATTACAGCCAGCGTATTTCATTACTGCTAATGAAAATTAGAAGGCTATGCAAATACGATCCTAAACATTAAAGACAACGCAGTTAAGCTGGGAAAGGTGACAGGACAAATGATCTCAAGACAAATGATCTCAAGACAAATGACCTCAAGACAAATGATCTCAAGACAAATGATCTCAGGACAAATGATCTCAAGACAAATGATCTCAAGACAAATGATCTCAAGACAAATGATCTCAAGACAAATGATCTCAAGACAAATGATCTCAAGACAAATGATCTCAGGACAAATGATCTCAAGACAAATGATCTCAAGACAAATGATCTCAAGACAAATGATCTCAAGACAAATGATCTCAAGACAAATGATCTCAGGACAAATGATCTCAGGACAAATGATCTCAGGACAAATGATCTCAAGACAAATGATCTCAAGGACAACTGATCTCACGGACAAAAGATACCAGGACAAAATATATCAGGACAAATGATACCATGGACAATTGATCTCAGACAAAATACCTCAGACAAAATATCTCACAGCAAAATTTTAATACTATATTAGATGATTTTAGTTGATCTGAACATGTATTTATTTCATTTGTCATGGAACCCTGGGAAATGATATTTTATCATTCTCAGAAAACATTCATTTTTGTAATGTTATAAATATAACGTAACAATATAGGTTTGAGACAAGGGATATTGTAACATTAGATTTTTAACTTGCTATTTGTTGGTCATTGTAGGTGTCTGATGATGTTTGTTGGTGTTTTTATGTTGTGATGATGTTGGTTTGTTGGTGTTTGTAGATGTTTGCTGCTGTTTGTCGTGCTGTTTGTTGATGTTTGACATGATTAACAGGTCATTGAACTTATCTGTTGATCTTTTTTTTTCGTTTTGTGTGCACATAATTTATTTTTTTTACTTAGCTTCTAGCACGTTCGTGCTGTAATATTTTTTTGTCAAGTTGTTGAACTCTTGTGTTGATATTTTTTGTCAAGTTGTTGAACTCTTGTGTTGATATTTTTAATTTATTCCCAATTTCTATCAGACCAATATTAATTTTTGACGTGTTGCGTTAATTAAATCTTTGTGGCATTTCTTAATTAGAATCCGGGCATGTTGTAATACCCTTGTCCTACATAGGCTGAGAAAACACAAAGTCTATGCAAGATGTTTGATGGAAGATAATTAACAGATATGGAAATACATGTAGGGCAAAATGTAAAAAAAAATTCTATGCTACACATAAATGTCCAAGAACAAAATATTTTAGAACTCTAATTCTTAAAATTGTAAAATTTTAAAATGTGTTAGCATTTGTTTTAATAATTGTAAAAATGTAATGTTATTGAGTACACAAAATGAACCAAAACATGTCTATGCAAAACTTAATGAATTGATCCTGCTCATCAATGGGACCAATGTCAAGGTTGGATTTTTTAAAAAAGAAATCTGTTGACTCAAAACTTGGAGCACCCATTGGATGCACAGATAGTAATTTCTACACAAATTTGAAATACATTTTTAAGGTTAATTATACATGTAATTATGTCAAAGTTCATATCACATTTCATGGTCGATAAATCCCGTGATGTGAGGCATCATTTTTACACTGAATTTAATCGTTTTTTTTTTCTAAAAACTTTAAACCCAGCTCTAACAATAGACCTTGCTCCAAATTTTTTTCTCCAATCTGACCTTGCTCCTGATTTCTCCGTTGATGACCTTGCTCCTGATTTCTCCGTCGTGTTGACCTTGCATCCACGTTTTTCTAGATTCCAGACATCTTCCTGTCAAAGCCGTGGAACGACCCAGAAAAAATGTGATTACTCAAATTACTGGATCCTAAACCACAGACCGGAACTTCCATTTGCACGAATGGCTCCAATGTCGCGGGTCCTTTGGCGCCATCTTGATCCCAAGACAGCTAAAAATAGCCGCAACACTAGATATTTAACGACCTCGATGCTAGGATCAAATTGCACGTGTTCGGCCACAAATGGTGGTAACAAGTAAACACAAATGGTGGCAACAAGTAAACACAAATGGTGGCAACAAGTAAACACAAATGGTGGCAACAAGTAAACACAAATGGTGGCAACAAGTAAACACAAATGGTGGCAACAAGTAAATACAAATGGTGGTAGTAATATGTCTGTGTTGTATGTGGTGGTGGTGACAGTTTTGTATGTAAATAAAACGAAATTTTGTCAATAGGAAATACACACGATAAATGGCAATCGAAAAAAATCTACATCTAGATTTTGACACATTTTGACGTTGTACAACCTTCCGGAGTCGGAAAAACTAAGTTTCGCAGTCCTCTACACGTGTGTGTGTGTGTGTGTGTGTGTGTGTGGTGTGTGTGGTATTTGAATGTGTGTGTGTGTGTGGTGTGAGTGTGTGTGTGAGTGTGTGTGTGTGAGTGTGTGTGTGTGTGGTGTGTGAGTGTGCGTAATAAAAACACGAACACACGAGTCCAGTTACACGTTTATTTTTAGCAGTATTGGGGTCAAGGGTCGGAGTTCGCCCATTAGACAACGTTGATGGCCCGGTCACATGACGAGATCTGAAAAAATAAACATCACATGACATGTTATATGTTAAGCGACAGTAGACTCTTCTAGCAAATTATAGCAGATTAAGCACCTACCACCAACACCACACAGAAGATGATGTACCTACCACCAACACCACACATAAGATGATGTACCTACCACCAACACCACACATAAGATGATGTACCTACCACCAACACCACACATAAGATGATGTACCTACTACCAACACCACACAGAAGATGATGTACCTACCACCAACACCACACATAAGATGATGTACCTACTACCAACACCACACAGAAGATGATGTACCTACCACCATCACCACACAGAAGATGATGTACCTACCACCATCACCACACAGAAGATGAACCACCTACCACAAACAATATATATCCCCGTTGATACAACGACACCCATATGTCAGCGTATCGCCATGGCCGTAGTAAATTCCATGTTTGATGCAACCTAAAGACCAGTGGTACTTTTACTTTAGGAAATATTTAACATATTTGACACTTTTAAATAAATAATGTTTTTAATCTTAGAATTGAACTTAATTACAGAAATGTTAATCTTATGTGAGGATCGCCTATATTTATCACTATAAGACAGTAAGCGATGTGTGTATAGCATAAGATATATAAACTTCAATAACTTAAAACATTTATGAACGTCTAGTTAAGGATGGCTTTTATCTCAGTAATCTTTAGTTTTTACAGACCTGGAAAGAATTCTCCCTGAACCTGAGGCAGGTAGGTAAAGCAGAGCTGAGCTGAAATAGCCACAGAGATCGTGATGAAATACTTTAAAAACATCTTGACGAAATGATGTGCAGATGAGGTTTGTTCTATCAAAAAAATGTGTGCACTATTTTCTTTCGGACTATGCAACATAAAAAATTGAGCTTTTTAAAAGGAGTTAATTTCTAATTAATTAAAATCGATTGAAACTCATTAGCAAGCTCTGTTGTTGCACCAGTGTGTGTACCTCTAACTGCTTGTTGTTTTTGTTGCCGTTGTCGTAATTATTGTTGTTGTAGTTGTTATTGGGCAAGTGTCTTTCGGGAAAACGTCCGGCTCTCGTCCGGTCGGTCTAGTGGGTCCGGTAGATCTAGACCTACACCTGTACTCATCAACCGTCGATTGAATCAAATAACAAAGCTGGGTTAAGGACACACAACAATAGTTTTAGCTAAAATTCTCTAATTAAAACAAAACGTTTAGCGTCCAGATTTGTACATGAACGATTTGATAGACATAGAGTCTGGGAAATCCCAAACATATTTACCAGGTTTTTATAAACTGAATGGTGTGAAACCTGTGAAACACAAATCATGTTCAAGGATTTTTCTCTCGCTTCTTTTCTTACAATGTTTTTTTTAACTGTTATAAGAAAATTATACAACGTATCTTAAAAAAAATATTAGATAATGATTTAAATACTTGTACAAACCGATGTGGGTTTATTAAAGCGAGGTGTGGTGTATCTAGACAGTCTTGTCGTCCTACTGTAGAGGTTGTCGTGTACTGTGAGATTTATTCCAGAATAATGGTCAGCTTTTGATTCATGAGAAGTAGTGACCACCACCACATACAATACAGACACACCACTACCACATACAAAACTGTCACCGCTCCCACATATTAACATCCCAAGTTGTTACTGACGTTAAAAAAAAGTTTGCCAAATTTGGATTTGTCAGCTAGACAAAGTTCATTTGTTTTTTCCCAGCCAGTCCACAGCTGTCTTAAAGTAAACAACCATTTTGTTGCTATGCAACGTGGATGACACAGACACACAAACAGAAAGACAGACATACAGACAGCCATACAGACAGACATACAGACAGACAGACAGACAGACACACAAACAGAAAGACAGACAGACAGACAGACACACACACACACACAAGCAGACACACAGACACACAGACAGACTGACAAACAGACAGACAAACAGACACACAAACACAAATATAGACAGACATACAGACAGACACACAGACAGACAGACAGACAGACACACAAAGCGCACGTATGTTTTTATGTAAATAAATTGGAAACATGTCTGCCATCCCTGTTTGTTTAGACGCGGCGTCAGAAGGAAGTGAATTTCTCCAAAGGGATTCTGGGATTAATTATTTTTTTAACCTGAGGATTAGTGTTTATCACATTAAAGATAGAGGCACACATTCGGCTACGTGGGGTCAAGGTCGTCTTATGTTTCTAGTTCAGGGTTTTCTGTAAGTGTCGGATAACTGTCAGAAACTAAATCCCTAAGACGTCGTAATCATATGTATCTAGAGTTGCTTACGTCTGTGATCATTTGAACACCGTGAAGGGAAATAAAACATCTTACATATGTGTGTAATTTATACATCATGTAATGTACATCGTGTAGGCTGTATACAACTCTGTAAGGATGTAATGGATGTAATGGTCTAAAAGTTGTTGAAATCTAATCTCAGGCAAACTAAAGACGGAACGGGTATCGATACCAAATCACGACCACATCAAGACATCACCACCACATCATCACAGCATCACGACAAAATCACGACAACATCATGACAAGATCACGACAACATCACGACAACATCACATCACCACAACACAACGACAACATAACCACAACACCACCACAACATCACCAAAACCTCACCACAGCATCACCACAACATCGCCACAACACAACGACAACATCACCACAACATCACCACAAAATCACCACAGCATCACCACAACAGCACCAGAACATCACCACAACACAACGACAACATCACGGTACTTAAGTTTCTCAGTACTTGTGTTTGCCGCTAGAAGAAAAACTATTGGCAAGCATTTTAATATTTAGAACAAATTTGTTAATTTATGTCTAGACGGTTTATTAATCAAAGTAAATAACATTTCGTAATGCTAAAATGGTTGGCAAACGAAGTTCACTTAAGCAATGACCAAATCATATTCAGGATTGCATTTCGAAATTACTAAGAAAACATAACGACTGACTTCTGAAGTTGATTCACTAGAGAAAATATTTGACACAATTTTAATTTGGCGTTATTTCTGGTGAGAGAAAATTAGCTGTTTTTTTTTTTTTGAGAAAAACGACAGAAGCCAACAAACACAATGTTAAGAGTCAGCTTTTAGCTCAATGGTAGGAGACAACATTTAGCTCAAGGGTAGGAGCCATATATATATATATATATATATATATATATATATATATATATATATATATATATATATATATATATATATATATATATATATATATATATATATATATATATATATATATCGAAAGAAGTATCTAAAAGATTAGATAAACAGGATGAAAACAATGATCTTGTGGGAGGAGCATTCTTCACGTCCCCACCCCTAGGGCATTGACCTCCCCATGAGGGGGTGAGTGAGGCTAGAACCCACTCATTAGGTCCTCCCACAGTGAAGGTCACGTCTTGACATTTCAGTTAACCTTGGCCAGTGACGTCACGCTGTTGTTTGTTGTCTCCCAGGATTGACTGTGACCCCTGACATTTGGCTTCCCACAAAAGTATCAAAACAAAATCTCTTTTCGTGTTAGAACCATTGGTTTTTTGTAATTGAGCTTTAATTAGTTGAAATAAATGCCACACAAAAAGAAAACGACGTATATCCAAGCTGTCACCTGCTCGTGAAGCTACAGAAGGTCTCTGGTGGGATATACCAACAGGTGACGTTTGGACACATGACAGTGTGACATCACACAGGTGTGATACGTCACTCAGGTGTAACAAGGAGGCACCAGAGTATGAAGGGGTCAACGACCGACGCCCAAACTGTCACTTTCTAGAATGCCGTTTGCAAAAAAGACCGCTTGCCTGAATGGTGATTTGCCTAAATTGAACACATGCCCGAAAATCCCGAACATATATAAACCCAAACTATAAAATTAAGTCACGTTATGTTTTAATACTTATTGAAGAAAAATGTCTTTCTTTTTTAACAAAACAATTTTTTTCAGTTTAGAGAAATAAAAGCTCTTGAAATATTTTTTTCCTGATTTAAAAATAATTAACCGTGTTAATTATAAAATTACGAAATACAATTAGAGCTTTTACTTAATTATAAATATTTTGTTGGCGGCAAACGGCTTCCGGGTATTTAGTAAATAAAGAGAACAGATTAAGGTAGATATCAGATGAAGATAATCAACTAACGGTTAGGCTAAGGGTTAGGGTTAGAAAATATTCTGGACGAAATAATTTCATGTAACCCTTACCCCATTCCCCGCGTGGCATTCTACAGAATAAGGGGTGGGGGATAATAGTTCTGTGGGTAAGGGCAGCGGGTAGTTCCCATGGGTCATTGATAAGGGGTGAGGTGTAATATCCTGGACCCCCGGGAAACACAGCGGTGCCGGATGTCGTTGGGAAATCATCCCTACCGTCATGTTGTGGAATCTCGCGCTGCGGTCACGTGCGTTAGGGTCACTCAAGGTCACTGTCTGGGAAACATCACATCAGTGACGTATGTGTCTGACCCACTTGACGTTAGGACGTCTGACCTGAGGCTATTGACCTACTGGTCTGTCCCACTTGCTACTGACCTACAAGTCTGACCCACTTGCTACTGACCTACAAGTCTGACCCACTTGCTACTGACCTACAAGTCTGACCCACTGGCTACTGACCTACAAGTCTGACCCACTTGCTACTGACCTACAAGTCTGACCCACTTGCTACTGACCTACAAGTCTGATACACTTGCTACTGACCTATACGTCTGACCCACTTGCTACTGACCTACAAGTCTGACCTACTTGCAACTGACCTACACGTCTGACCCACTTGCTACTGACCTACAAGTCTGACCCACTTGCTACTGACCTACAAGTCTGACCCACTTGCTACTGACCTACAAGTCTGACCTACTTGCTACTGACCTACAAGTCTGACCCACTTGCAACTGACCTACAAGTCTGCCCCACTTGCAACTGACCTACAAGTCTGACCCACTTGCAACTGGCCTACAAGTCTGACCCACTTGCTACTGACCTACAAGTCTGACCCACTTGCTACTGACCTACATGTCTGACCCACTTGCTACTGACCTACAAGTCTGACCCACTTGCAACTGACCTACAAGTCTGACCCACTTGCAACTGGCCTACAAGTCTGACCCACTTGCTACTGACCTACAAGTCTGACCCACTTGCTACTGACCTACATGTCTGACCCACTTGCTACTGACCTACACGTCTGACCCACTTGCTACTGACCTACATGTCTGACCCACTTGCTACTGACCTACATGTCTGACCCACTTGCTACTGACCTACAAGTCTGACCCACTTGCTACTGACCTACAAGTCTGCCCCACTTGCTGCTGACCTACAAGTCTGACCCACTTGCTACTGACCTACAAGTCTGACCCACTTGCTGCTGACCTACAAGTCTGACCCATTTGCTACTGACCTACAAGTCTGACCCACTTGCTGCTGACCTACAAGTCTGACCCATTTATGGTACATTAAAATGTCTGGCCCCACTTGACACAGACCGGGATGTTTGTCCTGAGGCTATTGACCTACATATCGGTACATGAGGCTATTGACCTGCTAGTCTACCCCACTTGACACTAGGAGGTCTGACCTGATGCTATTGACCGAGCGGTTAGACAAGTGTCAAGTATTTAGTCCAGTGAGTTCTGGCGGTGATTAGCGTGTCTGGTCCCGCCACAGAACTTCGTAGACAGGTCTCTGATTGGCGGCAGATAATGGCACCAGCTGGACATAATTTTGGCACCAGCTGGACATAATTTTGGCACCAGCTGGACATAATTTTGGCACCAGCTGGACATAATTTTGGCACCAGCTGGACATAATTTTGGCACCAGCTGGACATAATTGGGGCACCAGCTGGACATAATTGGGGCACCAGCTGGACATCACAGGACATCATTCGGGCACCAGCTGGGCATCACTGGGGCACCAACTGGGCATATTAGGTCATCACTGGG